TAAGAAGGATTTTATTAACTTGCATTCAGCTACTTTTGATACAGTTTTTGGAGGTAATTTGGTCCATGCCTAAAAATTTCGCATTTTTCCAAAAACCGCTCGATAATTTTTTTCATAAATTCGGCAATCTCGAGATCAATCGTCAAGAAATGTTTCCTGCAAGTTTTAAGAACATTGAAAACGGGGAAGGCTTTTAAATAGGGCCTCTAATATAGCCAACTTCCCCCCCAGATTTTGTGTTTACAAGCCGGCGTCCTCACTATTCACTGGCATTGTTTTCAGGTATCCCCCTAAGAAAATCCAGTCGAGCCACCTTAATTCATTTCAATTCAAGTGCTTTTTTCTGAATTCAGTGAATGAGACGATAAGTACCATCTATGTAAGAGGAACTACCGAAGAAAAGGAAGAAGAGACTTCATTGCCGTTTTCCATCACAGATACAGATATAACGTGCAAAAGAAATGACGCGATACAGTGGCGGATCCAGGGGAGGGGGCCGGGCTCCCCCCTTAATTTTGGACCAAACTGAGGCCTGAAGGGCTGAAAAAAAAAAATTAAGACCCCCTCCCCCCCATCCCTTATCTCAGGGTCTGGATGACCGGGCTCCCCCTTTATCTGAAGGTCTGGATCCGCCGCTGCTGATATACATGTAAATGAAATTATGCTTGGTGGGGGCCGCTTGGTGGTGGGGAAGCCTGGACTAGAGACCGGAGCTTAGATAGTCCTCTCCGCGATTGCCTATGAATTAACATAAATTAATACCATACATGTCATACATGGCGAGGAAAGAAATGAGACGACTTTTTGAACTAAAATGCCACGAAACCGAAAAATAATCGCAATTTGTTACAAGTTTAACTCATACTGAACTTAAGTGAAACAGGAAAGACGAGAACACTATTTGTGCTATTTGCAATATCTCATAGANATTTTTTTTTATTTTAAAGACCCTTAGTAAATAAACTTTCAAAGTTATCCTTCTGTTAACCCCAGCCAGACAGGGGGGGCTTTTTACTTCCCCCCCCCCCCCGCCCGCCTTAAGTTGAGACCAAATTTCTATCACGATTACCTCAATCTACACAGTTTTGAAGTAAAATAGAATACATCTAATTAATTCAAAATGGCAAATCTAAGATGGCAGATTGTTCCAGTTCCTTCCCCAATAATAAATGGCGCGATAATGCCAAAAAAAATTATAAATGTGTTAGCCAACTTTATGTACACCTTCCTATTTATCGCTTTATGGCTACTTTATATGGGGAAAAATTGATAAAATTCGGGTTCTAATAAATTCAATAATATGACGTCATGATGACGTCAAATAACGTCATTGTGTCATCAGGTTATACCTAGGTGTTGAAAATAATAAGTACCGGTACATTATTCTGAGTAATTTTGGTGACCGTATCATGGGCAGTTTTAAAGTTGTAGGGGGGCCTCCGAAGCTCCCCCGGTCGCAGGAAGCAGAAAAAAAGAGCACGGTCTGAATAGGGTGAGCGCAAGCATAAGTTTAAGTTCTTTAAAATGCTTTTACATTTTGCTTGGTTTTATATCTTCCCTACTGATAGTCTTTTGAGTCAGACTAATTCAAAACATCTTAGATATGAAAGGATGCATGATCGCCGCCCCTTCCGACCTTATTTTGCCCATAACACATAGGGGATTAGCTTAACCTTTATATTTCTTCATAGCAGGACGAAATTTAATAAATTAAAGCCCAATTGGCATGAACAATACTATACTTTCTTTGCCTCACTTACGTAAGTTACAATAGAATTGTGATAAAAGATTTTTTCCCTGTCAGCAACACAGACAGGAAACTCGGAAAAAAAATCCCGAGTTCCACCAACAGGAACAAACCTATGACCTTCTCGTTACTAGCCCGAAGCTGAGGCCAGTCTTCGTGCGTTTTCCATTTTTTGGAGGGAGGATATATAATATCACTTTTTGGGTTTCTCTTAGACATTCAAGAGTTGTGACAATGAGATTTTTCGTGTTATCTTGCAGGAATGGAAGAGCAGACAACAGAGTAGCAGCCAGCAATAATATACCGTTGGAAAATGACTGGACATACAACGCAGCAATATACTCGGAAGTTTCTTTTGACAATCCAGGCTTTAATGAAAATTCTGTAAACGATTCTCTCTCTCTTTCCGAGGGGAGTGCGAACGATGGTGCGATGCGGGAACTCGGCTTCACCGACTTACCAAACGAAATGAAACTAGGGGAGGGAAGACATGCCAGTTATCGACCACTTGAAGTAAATGCCAGAAGTAATCCAATGTTTGGAATTCCCGACAGCGGAGATAGCAGAACCGATGAATCTGGAGAACGATATTGTGTTCTGACTGGAAGTGAAGAGAAAGAAGCATGTGCAAGCTTACGCAACCAAGGAACCAACCATTTACAAGATAAGGATGAGTATTTGAAACTAGCAGAACCTCAATTCAAGGATTCTCGTAATTCTCCCATCTATGTAGATAGGGAATCGCATGCTTAAACATTAAAACATTGTTTTAACAAAACCATGTAATATGCTTCTCTAGATAACATTTCGTGCCAGGTAAGATAATCCATATTCCGGAATCCGGGATATTTTGCTTGAAAAATCCGAAATCTTGGGCTTTGAAATACAGAATTCAGCTTAAGGAATTCGGAATCCCACAAACTATTAAGTTTGAAATCCAGGCTCAGTTGACAAGGAATCCGGGAATCCCGCAGGACTCGGAGACTGGAATTCACAGCTTGGATTTATTTGTTCATGTAGCCATGTTACATGAGACGATACATTATTTCATGGTCCTTATAATTTTAGCATATGCATGTTCTAGTGATTACTTTAGACAAGTTTTTTCATTGTTATCATAACCGCGGTGGAAGCCATTTTCCATCAAGCCATCTGTTGTTGTAATGCTATTTATACATGGCTATATTAGTCTGCAGCTCCTTCAATTGCTTTTTAAACTCTTACAGTTGCAACGCCAAAATGAGATGCCCATCATGAGCTTATCAATGGCTAAACTAATCTTACAGTGGCAGTGCTAGCGCATATATAATAGCGTGTTAGTCTATAAAGGGGAAGGGTTTCATTTCTCAGTGCCCGGACCAGGGCTAATAGTCAGGTTCTTACAGTGAAATACTGAGAAAAAAGGGTATTGCCTATTACCTGTTGGATCTATGATTGAACAGGGTGAAAAATCTCAGTGTCCTTGATTATTACTTCGCTCTAAATACATTGACAGTTAAATGAATTTGGTTATAGGATTGTAGCCTCGATCACAATATGGTCAGTTTCTAATGTAACAAAGAATAGACATTTATATAACTTGGGTTGTACTCACCAAGAGTGGTTAAAATAAAAGTCCAGAATTTGGTACAAAAGAAACACATTTTGTGGTATGATTTCTTCTTCCACTTTGCCGTAAAGAGAACGTTATTCGGCGTTTGTACTTCAAATACTGTCACGAAAGAGCTTAGGCCTCCTCCAACGGGTTAGAGCAGTTTACATTTTTTCTTTAATTGATGTAAATAGCTCTAGTCCGTTCGAGGATGCCTAACCTCTCATAAACTCCTATAGTTTCTGGTAAGTCTCCTCACCACTACTTTTTTCTACTTTTCCTATGTTATTTGTAATTTCTATAACAGTGTGTGGCAAATAAAAGAAAATAAAAAATTAAGAAATGCTTAATTTTTCAATCACGCTGTCCACTCCTAATTTATCTTTGTAATGTTGCCTTGTTGACGGAAACAACTTGCATTGGATTTAATCAATAATATCTTCACCTTCTTTCAAGGTCTACTTATAATGCTACATGCTACATGCTAATAGCTCCATGTTTCCATTTCCCGTTACCTTTTTTTGAGTCATCCGCTTGTGAAAAGCTCCATAGTCCATGGTCGCTGCGTTCCCTACTGGCCTCCATGTGCCTAGCCTGCGTAGCAAGTGTTTCCGCGCGAGTTCGTCGAGAAAAATTGGGACGAGAGCAACAAAAAAGGAATGACAGGGGAGGGGAAAAAAAGAAACGCTTGCCCGCAAACCCCTAACCTGCGAACAGCAGGTTAGGGGCAAACCCCAAGATTTTGAAAAAAACTGCGTTCGCCCACAAACGCAGCTTCTGATTGGTGAGGTACTGGTATTGTTGATTACTCAGCACTCGAAACATCAATCAAACCAAGTATGCTTTGTTTACGTGCGCTACAGATCTGACTTCATCTGATTTGTGGTCGCAGATTACGTGGGTAGAAAACGAAAACCCCCCTCAAAATCACTTATAAATATCTAGAAACGGGTATCTCAACCTTAGATGTGTAAGAAACGACAATATCTTCAATTACACAAAATTTCGACCACGGTCTTCGTTTTCTACATAATACCCCCCGGGGTGTAGAAAACGAAGACCCCCTCAAAATCACTTGGAAACGGCTAGAAACTGCTTTTAACGACTTGTAGACACTTAAGGAGTGTAAGAAACAACACGGCTGCTGACGATTTTCAATTATACAAAATTTTGACCGGGTCATCGTCTGAGTTTTCTTCGGAATCATCCTTTGCTGTAAAGTGTTCGAAGTCATGTCTTCCGTGATGGCCATCAAAATGCCCCATTCCATGACATTAAATAACCATGTCACTCGGAGATCTTAAAGTTGTCGGGCGGTTAATGTCCAGTCTTGTTTCTATCAGGGTCAACATTTTTATCCGAAAAATACGAGTCTTAAGTCTTTGCTCGCAGTCACGTCTTTATTACTGACGACAGAAACGTTTCCGAGATTTCATTACAGCCAGTTTGCGCATGAACCAGAAAACACATTTTGTGTGAATATTCTTTGTTCTTTGAGCCAAGTATTTTGTACGTGAAATTATATTACAACTTCACTCAATAAGGGTGAACCAAGTAGGGCACTACGTGTCCTATTGTTCTCTCCCCTGTACATTGTACGAATCTATAAATAAATAAATTAATTAATTAATTAACCTTGTATTGAAATAACTTTGTACCAAAAAAAAACCGATAATCCGTGTAAGTACCTGTTGTCTTGCAAACTCTTAATGAAAATCACACACACTCCAGCCATTTATCTCAGTGTCCTTCGGAAAAGCCCCTTACAGAAGAGAAACGCTTCCCCAATAAAATTCTAGACTCTTCACAGCTCTTGAGTTCTACTCTAAACATCACTCAGGAGGGATGTGAGAAACTGCAACGAGTGCCGCAAGCACAAGGGAGCGTCGTCCCAGGGAAAAGAAAGGTCTTACATCTTCTCCATATTAAGCCCGCTTACTAAGGACACTTTCTATGGTCTCCTAAGTGTCCGTATTAACGGGGTTTGACTGTACCACGAGTTTAATGAGTATTATAATTAATGATGAATTCTACAAAGTAAAACTAAAATGAAACAGAAACATTTTCTATAGAAAACTCGTCAAAATGTATTTAATTAGGAAAATATTTCATACATTTTAAGACATGGATTTCGGATTTCTTCTGACATTAAATAACCACGTCACTCGGGAGATCGTTAAAAGCAGTTTCCAGCCGTTTCCAAATGATTTTAAGGGGAGTCTTCGTCTTCTACACACCGGGGGGCTTATGTAGAAAACGAAGACCCTGGTCGAAATTTTGTATAATTGAAGATATTGTTGTTTCTTACACATCTAAGGTCAAGATACCCGTTTTTAGATATTTATAAGAGATTTTGAGGGGGGTCTTCGTTTTTGGGTCTCAGATCTTAGTTCTTCGTTTCCTACCCACCCCGCAGATTACAAATGCTTTGGACTGATATTTATTTGAATCAAGTTTGTGCGAAGGTTTATGAGATCAGAGTCTTCACAGTATAATTAGAGATCGAGCAGTGGAGACTAGGGAAGGCCAATTTATTGGGAATGACGGCGTGCTGATCTGACTGGTAAAAATGGACTGTTTGTTGGAGATAACATCAACGTAAATCAGAACATCGGTATTCGACACTAGCTATAGACTGCAAAACAGTCGGTGTTTTTCTCTAAATCAGTAAAGAAATCGGTAAAGCGTGGCGTTATGTGCCTCATGCATGCCTTTGTACTCCAAGTCATAAGTGCGTGGGAATATTACAACCTTTTTAGACGTTTTTGTTTGTTTGTTTTTTAGCGCCTGTTTACATGGGGGTGGGGGACCCCAGGTAGGTGAGGTAACCCGCTTAGGTGGGGTAACCCACCTGTCCAAACAATCTCTCATTTTAATTTGATCACGTTTACATGTTAGGCGAGGTGACCCGCCACATGTTACCTCACTTACCTGGGGTCCCCCACCTCCATGTAAACAAGCCCAAAGTATCCTGTCTTTTGATATTTGACGTTATCAGGTCAGATATTGTAGGCTATTAGAAATGAAATTAATGCTTGAGCGGCCGTTAGACAAAAGACTATTATTATTGTAAATCGTTGATTTGATGTGATATTTTTAAATACATTTCCTCACGCTCTAAAGCCTGACGAGAGCAATCTATGAAGTTAATAATCCTCGACCTGCGAAGCATGAATATATATATATGTTCATCATGAAGAGCTCAGCTCGCACACAGGACTTTAAATAGCTTATCCTGCATTAGCTAAACGAGGCGAACGAGTCAGTTCGCGCAAACTCGTCTCGTGCTTCGGGCCCATAAAGCGCCTCATGTAGGCCGGTTCTAATCTACAGCTACAATATCAACATATTAGGCATTGACAAACATGGACATTACTCGGACATTAAGATTGTCTTGGTTCCCACGCGCTTACAATAAGTTAAAACAATGAAAAATGCGTGATCTTTGGAAAACGCTTCACTGAAGTCAGATATTGTAGGCTATTGGAAATGAAATTAATGCTTGAGCGGCCGTTAGACAAAAGACTATTATTATTGTAAATAGTTGATTTGATGTGATATTTTTCAATACATTTCCTCACGCTCTAAAGCCTTCTAAACGTTGAACAAAACGTTGTTTATCGCTTCTGTCTTTTCAAGTCGTATTCGTGCTGAGAGCTGCGTCTCTTTTACTACAGTTACAGGGAGGTCGTGTCCTTACTTGAAACAATAAAAGACCAAACTGTATACACAATTGTCTGAAGTCAGAAACACATCGGCGCGTGGGAAACAAGTGGCTCTTACGCCCAGTGAGGTGGGTACTTCTTAAAATGGCCTATATGGGGAGGTTTCGCTGAAATGGGCATCTTTTTCAGGCTTTAGGTATTTGAAAAGGTTCGGATTTCACTAGTTGAAGTATATTAAAGGGACGGGGAATCTGTCATTTCCACATCTAAAATGGCTCGTAAGGGGCTAATAGATGCATTATATGGCTGTGAAAATGTCGAGAAAACGTTCTTGTTTTGTGTATCTATTCAAATTTCTAGCCTAATGAATTTCTTCTATAGAGTTCTTTTTTTTTGTGATTTGTTCATATTTTAAAGGCAACACATTTACAGCAGTTAAAAGGAATAAAAAGTTCCAAATTAGGTTTGTGAAAGGGGTACAATTTATCAATAGAAGG